CTGGCATATTAGACAACGCAGTCAACTCTGATGGCACAGTAAGTGTTACCTTGAAAGTTGCCTGTTAAGAATGGTTAACACTTGTCAAAGCAGTTAGTTTGATCATTCATGAAAGAAAAGCATATTCTACATACCTTCAAAGCAGGTTCATCCCAGCATGGAAAACATCGCCTTGCATCTACAGCCTCAAACTGGGTAACTGCCATATTTTTCTTCACTCCTCCATCAACATAAGTGCTGCCAAAGTCAATATGCGCATATGACTCTAAATATCAGATAGCTTGTGATTTAAAGCGGTCAAAGAAATAGAACCACACTAGGTAATTTCAAATATGAGCCAATGGAAGTATGGGATTGTTTTTCTCCAAGCATCATCCAGCACACTAGAAAATATACTTTCATATATAATAACATATCCCATAACATCTATGACTTCTGTTGCTTCCATCACGTGAAAACTAGCTTTGATGGCACTGTTGCATTTACAGTACAAGGAGTGAGAGTCATTTAATTCATTAAACAAAGTTCTAGGAACGATAATTGATTAAACATATATTTTGAGTAATGTTAGAATGAAGTTATTTTGTTTTTGAGTAAATTTTTTCTAATTTGGATTATAGTTAATAGCCACTAATTTTTAAGTATTCATCCAAAATAATAATCATGAAGTATGGCAAAACGACCGTACTACCACTATTTTGTAAATGTATCGCCGGAATGAAACAGATTCGAAAAGTATGGCTGAAGTAGAGCAGTCAAATCCGTTGATCTGACTGACGGGATCAGTCCCGCCACTGAACAAGACGGGATCATAGCCCACGTCGGATTGTGCCAGAATCGCGTCATGTAAAGTGACAAGTCCTCCACAAGTGCCGTCACCATAGTTCACTTGTTCCATTCTCGCCAGGAGACTTGACGGGACCAAGTGTATTATTAAATCTGTTAAGACATAATGCTTTAATGGAGTCAGCTGTCAAACAAAACTATAGATGCCAAAATCTACAATTGAAGACAAAACAGTGTGGTGATGAAAAGAAACTGATAATATGAAGAAATTAAAAATTAAAAAAATGGAAAGGTTGTTTTAATAATTAGTAAATGGGAAAAAAGTTTCCGATGTTACTATAGATAACTTTATCTAATGTTTATCAAAACGACGTCGTTTTGGGTTGAAAAATTAAAAAAATTAGAGTGATAAAGACTATTATAACCCTGAAATAAATTAAAATTATAAAATTACCATAATTTCCGTCCCAAAACGACGTCGTTTTGATGAACATTAGATAAAGTTATCTAAAGTAACATCAGAAAAAAAAAAACCCTTAGTAAATTTGTTTTAATTAGTAAAAAGTGGCCCATTTGTTTTGTGTAATTAAAAAATAAAAAAATTAGTAATATTAAGCAAATATAATAATTAGTAAATTTATTGTAATATATTTTTGGTTTTTAGAAGTGGTCCATATAAAAAAGCTAAAGACGTGTTAATTTTTTTTGTAATTAATGAAAGTTTTTTGTTTTGTTACAAATAATTAATGAATTAATTAAAATAAATAACAACCTAAGAAAAACCTGTTAAGTTAACATATGCAGGTTTTATTTTTGTGTGTCTATTTATCATGATTAAATCATTAATTCCATTAAAGCTGACTCCATTAAATCATTATGTCCTAAGAGATTTTATAATACACCTGGTCCGTCAAGTCTCCCTGCGGGAATGGATTGTGGAGTTGGCACAATCCGACGTGGCCTCTGATCCCGTCTTGATCAGTGGCGGGACTGATCCCGTCAGTCAAACCAACGAATTTGACTGCTCTACTTCGGCCATATTTTTTGAATCTGTTTTATTCCAACGATACATTTACAAAATAGTGGTAGTACGGTCGTTTTGCCCATAAAGTATTGATAAAACCAAAGAATAAATATATCCAACAAATTTCGAGAAATTAAAAAGTAACTGGATCTTCCATTTACCTCCAACTCATCTATTTATTACCAGCAAGACTCTGGTGCAAGAAACTAGGAATTATAAAACAGAAAAAAAAAAGGGAAAAGGAGGCACACCATCTATAGAATCCTCTTAGGTGCTCATTGAGGATCCCAGAAAACTCAATCCCCAAAACTCCTTCTCCAGCACTCAGTGTTTCATCAAACACCATGACTAGTATCTCGTCATCATCACACACAACAACATCACGTGGAGAGTACTGTAGAAGAAATTAAGCCCACAAGGGTCACCAAAACACACTAATCCAAATTCACTATCTGCTTAAAAAAGGGTTCTGATTACTAAAAAACTCACCTGGCCATGAGAGTTGGTGAACCAAGAAGTTCCAGAGAATTTAAGACAAGGAACTTGGTGCTTTCATTGATGGAAAGGCTAATTTGCACGGTGCCAGAAAAAGTGCATGCAGAGAGATCAGGTATTAAATGAAGTTCATATTTTTTGGGGATTGCAAAACTGGGTAACCTTGTTTGGCCCTTGAATTGATCTATGCTCAGCTTCTGCTCCATTTTCCTCCAAAGAACTCGCTCAAAATGTTGTGTTTCCAAGTGAAGACTACTTTAAAGTTAAAACATCATTTAAATAGAAAGTGACAGAGATTCTTTCTAAGGATTGTGGAAAATTTTCAAACACGTGATTTCATTGATTGGACGTTCATGAATATTGTTATAACTTGGTTATATATCATGTTCCTTCTCAATCTTTAAATTCATATCTAGTTTTTCTTCAAACATTAAACATGTAAGGTTTTATTAAACGGTTTAATATTTAAAACATCATTTAAATAGAAAGTGACAGAGATACTTTCTAAGGATTGTGGAAAATTTTCAAACACGTGATTTCATTGATTGGACGTTCATGAATATTGCAGTAATTTGGTTATATCATGTTCCTTCTCCTTGCTGAAATTCATTTCTAGTTTTTCTTCAAACATTAGACATGTAAGGTTTTATTAAAGGGTTTAATATTACTTCCGGGATATAAATTTATCTGTATATACTTAAAAGTACGTGGAGTCTATGTGAGATTATATGAAGAAAATAAAAAGAGAAAAAGAAAATATGAACTTCACTTAATTTTATATGTGTAAAAAAAAAAATTCTCTTATATTATTAAAATTTGGAAATAATGCTCTCATGTTAAATAAAATATGACATGATCATGTGAGAAATCACAATAATAGAAAAATAATTTAAGGGTGTGATGTTTGTCATTTTAAACGACATAAATTATGTCATTTTAGAAGAGAGATAGACACAAGGAATAAAAATCATGGGGAAGAAAGTGGGTATTTTTTTAATTTAAATTTTAAATAAAAAATATTATCTGTTTCTATCTCTCTCTTAAATTGACATAATTTAATATCATTTAAAATGACAAACACTTTCCCTTAAATTAATGGTAATAATTTTATAAATATTTTTTTTAATATTTTTTTTGGGAATGATTATATTTAGGGGTGTTCATCAACCGATCCAAACCTATTCAAACCGCAATAACCGAACCGAAAAACCGATAACCGAATAAACCGAAAATCGAAAAATCGAAAACCAAAAAAAAACCGCAAATTTTAATTGGATTGGATCGGTTTTCGGATTGGTCAAAATTGACCAATCCGAAAATCGATCCAATATATTAATTTCCCTCTACCTACTTGGATTTTTCCTCAATCATAGCCCAAAAATTTCTAAACCAAAGACTCATCAACCCATCAACTAAACCCAAGAAAAAGCATAGTCACATCTCATTAACAAAATTTAATTTGTGTAGAGCTTCATATCTCATTGCCAAAAAAGAAAAAACTACATTATCGTTTAATGATGCTTTTATATTTAAAAAAAATAAAATTACAAATTCAATATATACAAAAGATGTTATTTGCACAATAATCATGAAATAAATTTTAGGATTTTCAAAAAATCGAAAACCGATCCAATCCAAACCGAAAAAAATTGGATTAGATCGGATCGGATTTGAAAAAAAATCAAACTGAATGGATGATTACATGATCAAATCGAAGGGATTGGATCGGATGATTTTTGCTTCCAAAACCGATCCAATCCAGACCGAGAACCGGATTGTTATCATTGCGTACGACATTAAGCGCAGTTACAATCACATTGGTTCAGTTAGAAAACTGGATAAATTTTTCCTTTTTAAACAAGCCGGATTTAAATAATCAAGTGCGTGATCATAACTATATATACTTCGCAGAGTAGTGGGACTAAACTTAATATTATATTCCCATTCTACTTGACAATACGTCGTTAAATGTCTTCATCACTTTAATTATCAAATTAATTCTAAACTCCTTTTATGATTCACATCTTCTACTATGTTATAGGATTCTGCATTAGCTACGCGTGGGTTCAAACCGCGCTCAAATCGGAGCACCGTAGCCAAAGTTATGCATTTTCTAAGAAAAGGGTGCGAAACCTCCAGAACCCTCGCGCCCGTAGAGTGAGATCCACGCCCAGAGCGTGGGAAAACAGAAAGTTGACGCCCCAAGCGTGGATCTGGCGCCCCAAGCGTGGATGCTACTGTCTGATCTCGTAATTTGGCGCCCCAAGCGTGAATTTGGCGCCCCAGGCGCCATCCACAGGGTTGGGTGACCCAAAACAAGGTCATTTAACCTACCTATGGTTTTCCACTCATAACTTGAGCTATACTCACTCAAATTACACCATTTTGGTCTCTATGGAAAGCTAAGAGAAATTTCTACAACTTCCATAGAGACATCAAAGTCCAATTCCATCACACTGGGTGTGAAAATTGGTCAAACGGACAGGATGTATTTATTTTCTCAACATTTCCCAATTTAAACAAAAGGTACCTAATTGATTCTCAGTTCAACCATCCAATACTTAATGAACATACATATATTAAACTTAAAGTACTCATCCATTACAAATCATGTTCATTACAATTCATGGAACTTAGCTTACAAAACACTATGATCATTCCCTTGGCTCCCATCAACAAAAGAGATGACCAAAGGCATGAGCATAGGCTAAGTCCATTCCAATATACAAATCATACATCTATCAATGGTCTAGGAATTACAATCCTATACATGTGAGCTACAAAACAACATGTATAATATCAAAATATAGGATCCTCATGCATATGCTAATCCAAATATGGCCACTTGCACTGGGGGCTCCTGCAGCATCCTTACCTGAAAGGGGGTCCCCACAACACGGGGTGAGATATACGAATATATCCAGTAAACCAGGGGTCCTTGGAGCATCTCTCCACCCCACAGTTCCATATCAGTGTAATAGCAATAACAATAATAATGCAGTAAATACATATCTATGCAAAGTGCAATAACATCTTCAGGAGAAATCCTTCGAGCTCTCAAGCTGTCCTAAGGAAACTCAGATGCAAATAGTCCTACTGGCCAGCTAACTACCAAGTATGATTTACGCATCGTCATGCAACATACCACATAGGGAAACACCATCCTATGCCACACCAAATGCATACACATACGTATAACAAAGCATTACACTATTTCATTGCATTTATATACACTATAATTACCACTACCCTTTCAGGGCTTGGTGGAACAATCAAGGGAATTACACCCAAGGTCCGAAGGCTTACCTCAATGCTTCAGTCAACCTTTGTTCACCACCAACAGGTTCCACAGTCAGTCAATTACAATACTTCACTTCTCAAACAAAACCTACACAAGGTTTAATGCAATCAACACATATTGCATCCAATAACATCTCATAGCTATCAACCAAGCTATACAATTCATACCAAACATAAGCATGAACTCACCTATCCAATGGAGCTAATCAAGCTCCATAGCTTGCTCCAATGGTTGATCACTCACGGTTGGTCCAAATGCCTCAATCCTAGACAACACCAAGGCATAATCAACAACCAACCAAACCAAACCATTTATTAACAATGCAAGAAATCCAATATCAAGCATCATATTCTTGCAATTTTACAAATATACTCATTTAGCTATCTAAGCTCATTTTCACCGATTAAACGTCGTTCCTAGCATTTTCCACAACATGCTCTAAGTTCCATTCTTCCTAGAACATAGCTAACTTAACAACATTTCATCAAAACCCTAAAACACTATTCATAAACCCTAACTCATGCAATTTCAAGGAATCATGAGGTTCAAGGGTTAGAATCTTACCACCAATGGTCACACAACCGAGGATTGATGGCTCCCCAAGCTTCAATGGAGGTGGAAGCACTCAAAACCCCAAATTTCACCAAATGGGCGAATTTTTGAGAGCCAATATCTCACCACACAAAGCTCCCCACTAAGAACTAAGCTTGGATTATGAAAGAGGAGAAGATTTAGAGTGGTTTAGGCTTTTGAATCACTCCAATCGGTGGAGGATTGCTCTCCCTAGGTTTCTCTCTCTATTTTCCTCTCCTTCCTCTTCTTCTCTTCCTTCTTCTTCTTCTTTCTGGCGTCGACGGGAATGGGAGGGTTTGGGGCTCTTTTGTGTTTTAGTCACTTAACATTAGTTAAGTGGTAACATGTGGGTATTGGTTCATCTATCTATTCAACTCCAATAATTACCAAACTTTACCCAAAAGTCTGGAATATTATTCTAGGAATATTACTATTTTTATTTTTATATTTTGGGCACTTTCGCCAGTATCCATTTATACCCTTAATTTTCACTGAGTACACTTTTTAACTTCAAAGTGACTCAGATTCATTTAATTAAGCCTCATACTTAATTTTACTCACTAAAACATGCTTAATTATTTAATTATATGTAATTTGCTAATTACTTAGGCTAGGGCTATTATAGTTGTAAACAAAAATAGCTTGTAAGTGTAACATTTCTCTTTTTTTTTTCTTCCTTTTTTATTACCATAATTTACTTTTGTATAATTTTTTATGTCTCCATATGACCATGTCATATTTTATTTAAGTTGAGAGAGTCCACTCTCCTTAAAGTTTGTTTTTTAGGAGGCGTTTGGTAGAGGATAAATTTTTTTAACCACGAGAAATAATTATTAGTGAAAAGTAGTGTGAAATATATTTGGTCTGGAATGTTAGTAAAAGATGTTTGGTATACTAAAATTTTCTCAAAAATTTATGGTTAATTTTATTAAGTGTGAAATATTAGCGGGAATGTGAAGTTATTTTATGAAAAATAACTCGAGTTTAAACTTGTACCAATCTCTTTGGTCGAACTGTTTCCATGAAGGTTAATTTTGTCAATAAATTCATGCAATTTCGCGCCTCAATTTCTATATCCCATCTATAAAATTTCACTTCTGCAGACAATACAATAAATTGCACATGACATGATTTTCGGGAAACGTTTGTAGTCTGAATTTTTTTTTTTTTTTGCTTTACTATACATGGATTTATTATTTGTCTAAGCATGCTTTTCCGGTGAACGAAAAAAAAAAAAAAACCTGTAACAAACACCCCTTAAATACGTGGAGTTTTATTAAGATTTATGAAAACAGATTTATACTAGAGTACAAAGTTTTAACATGATAGAATCTTTTCCTTGCAACAAGAGTTTTTGGTCCATTTAAAACCTCTTCCGGTTCGAGTTTTTTTCCTCCCAAACCCGGAAGAGTGACCACTTTACCACACTTGCAACAAAATTTATCAGACTACTACACCAACAGTAAATTTTGCCAAAATATCACGCTACACCCTTAGCCGTCGTTGAAGAAGTCTGAAAATATAACTAATTCGTATTATCTTATCTTAACTCTTAATTATTTTGAGACTTCTTCAACGATGGCTAAGGGTGCAGCGTGACATTTTGACGCAAAATTTACAGCCTGGTGAATTTTTTTTGTAAAGTGTGGCAAAATGGTCACCGTTCCCGCAAACCCAAGGTTTCACACACCTTCACAAAACCTGCCTCAGTCTCTCTCTCTCTCGATTCGACGAAACTCTAACCCTAGCGTCTGGAAGGTCTCTCTCATGGCGTACCAGAACCCCGATCACGAACCAGGATCCGACTCGAATACCCAAACTCGACTCTACAACCCATACAAGGACCTTGAGGTCCCAATTCGAAACCTCTACCAGCTCCCAACCTCCCCAGAGTTTCTCTTCGTCGAGGAGTCTCATCATAAGCGCCGATCATGGGGCGAGAACCTCACCTTCTACACCGGCTGTGGCTACCTCGCCGGAGCTGTTGGCGGCGCCGGGGCCGGCCTCGTTAACGGCGTCAGATCCTTCGAATCCGGCGACACAATTAAGCTCCGACTCAATCGTGTCCTGAACTACTCCGGGCATTCTGGTCGGGCGTGGGGAAACCGGATCGGCATCATCGGGCTGCTCTACGCCGGCATAGAGAGCGGGATTGAGGCCGCGAGGGACACCGACGACGTCTGGAACAGCGTCGCGGCGGGGCTCGGTACCGGCGCGCTGTATCGAGCGGCGAGAGGGGTGCGATCGGCGGCGGTGGCCGGAGCGGTGGGTGGCGTTCTGGTTGGAGTGGCCGTTACAGCGAAGCAGGCGTTGAAACGATATGTGCCTATATGAAGAGAACATAACATAGTGTGAGTGTTAACTTCAATCTTTTTTTTAATTATTTTATTTAATTAATTTTGAGCTATAGTTGAAGCTTTAGTTATAGATTATATAATATAATTTATCGTGTCATCTTGTAATGAATGTCATCTTGTAATGAATGATTATTGTGACGGCATTAAAGCTGGGTATTCATATAGCATGAAAAAAAAATCTTATTTTTATTTTCCCTGGTTTTTCTAATTATGTGACAAGGGTAGCTGGATATATGATTTGAATGTGAATAGATTTTATCTGTGTTTGGTCAAAAGTTAACAATTTTCTTCAGTGTAAAACTATTACTTTGCTGTTAGCACCTTAACATGGAGTTTTGAAGGATTTTGCTAGTGGCGGAGTCACGATAGTGCCGGTAGGTACTTTGGCGCTGGCTAATTGAAGCGTAGCTAAGTAAACGTAGCAAATCATGTTTCAAAATTTTTGAAAATTAGTCACGTTTTGGATGTAACTATATAACCATAGCTATTTTGGCACCGGCTGAAATTTTTGACACGGGCTAAAATACTTTGCTGGCTCTGCCACTGAATTTTGCTATCCTTTGATATGATATTTTGCTTGTATTGTTTCTCAGTTTCCACTCTTGAACTTTGAAGGTTATATAGTACAGATGATTATGGCTTCTAATCATATAATGTTTGAACTTCTAATTGCTGATATCGTTTACTCTATTATATTGCAATGAGCACATGAACAAGCTACTTGAGAGTAAAGAGTCAAAGTATTGTTGTGGTTATATGTTCATATGCTGCTTTCTTCAGAAACTCATCCCTACTTCGGTTGAATTTTACAGTTCTCCTTATGTTCCCGCTTATCTTATGAGACAAAGAAACAAAAACAAATTTTATGGATTCTACATAAATAATGGTAGATACAATTATAGTCACTTTTGTGTCTATTTCTCTCGTGACGTGAGAGTAAGGAATATTAGAGATTTCAAATCCTGAATTATATAAAACACGATGCATACAAGTGTAGTAGCAATGAACGTGTCATTCTGTTTTCCACTGCTTTCCATGCAATAGGGGTGTCTTTGGTACAGGATTTCGTTTGAGTTTGATGAGAAAATGTGGGTGGGTGTTGAAAAAGATCACATTTGGTTCAAGTTTTAGAAAAAAAAAACCAGCAGAGTACCTAGGCAATTAGATTTGTGTTGTTTTTTTGCTGAAACTAATTTAGGATAGGTGGGAAAGTGGTATTGAAAGAAATCAAGTTATTGACATTGGACTCTCAGTTTTAGGCGGTGGTTCGATTAAAAAATATTGATAACGTGGGTGTTTTGGTCAATTCAACTAATTTTTTTATCACTATTTTACATTCAACTAAATATAAACTTTGTAAATTTAAATAAATCTTTTTAGTAAAATTTCAGTAAATCAAACATTTTTTTTAAAAAAATTTTCATATAATTTACTTTTCTATCATATTTTCATTAAGTGAAATATTACTCTCCTTCCACATGAGATATCATCTCTTATTTTCTCTCATTTCGATTTTCGTGTTCCACCTTTTTTTTTTTTTGTAATGGTGGAACCCACTTATTTTCTCTATATAACTTAAGATATCTATCTTATGTTGAATGAGACTAATAAAACTCTTTCATTAATTATGTTTCCCCGTTAAAAAAAAAATATTTCCTCTACGAAAGTGCCTCTTAATAGATTTTGCCCCTTCAAAGCTCACTATTTTGGTGAGTTATAATGGTAGAGCCGAAATCTACACAAGCCGGTTTTTTACTTCTGTATATTTTAAAAGTGTATATTACGTTGATTTCCATATGGGAAAACTGCTTATCATTTTAAAGCATATATGTTTGTGTCATGAAAATTTATGGGTTTTAGTAATTTTTTACCTTCTTTTTTCATCATGATACTTTTATTTTCTCTTTCCTGCTAATTTGTGGAGAAAAGAGAAGATAAAAAATTATCAAAACACTATTGTTTCACTTAAATGACATAAATTTATATTATTTAAAATGCTAAACAATCTTAGAATAATGTAAAATTATATATATAATTAGAAATTGTTAATTCAACGATACATTTTATAATATAATATTTAATAAGTTTATCGATGAAATTATTAAATTGTAACTATTTATTACCTTGAGTATGTGTATCTACTCTTGTAAAAGTTTAATAGCAATAAAAATATTATCAAGTGGTTTTTATTATTATACATTTTAAAAGTATACATTAGGACAAGTTTGATATATATGGATGTATTAAATAGTTTTATTGCATACAAAAAAAAAAAATAGGAAATAGTTTTATTACAATATAACATTATATTGATATTGTTAATACGATAGAAATTTATAATTTAGCTTTAAATTTTATAATCTAATTATTAAAAAAGAGATAAATTGGGTCGCTACTAATTATTGTATTTTATAAAATAATGAATATTTTGATCTTTGTGAATCTACTTAACCCAAGACTTACATAAACTTGATGGTAATGTTATTAGGAGATAAATCTTCATAATATTTCTTGGCAACGAGATTGGTTTACTTTGCCAATTTTTTTCTCCGTGTTTGATTCTAGAGCAACTTATTTATATGCAATATCTAATTCGATTATAAATTGTGTTCTTTATCTACCTTCCGTGGAATAGTTTTTTCTTCTTAATTTAAACTTTATTTTATAAAATTAATATATGAAGTTTGACATAGAAGAATATTTTTTAATATAATATTTAACTTTAGTATTTTTATTTTGATTTTTTTTAAAAAAATTGTTAAAAGGTTTTTTTTAACTTTTTGAAAGAAGTATTAAAATCACACTTTTTAATTTTCCTTTTTCTCAACAAATTTATTTGATTATTGAATAATGTTTAAACATGTTATTGAATTAAAAAAATAGCTTTTAAAAAAAGGAACAAGGTGCCCAAACAAGAGATGCTTTTGGATTCATATTTTTCAACGTATCCATGAATGGATTATAGCATGTTTGGATTAGCAAACTATAATTACAATCTGATAATATCTTTTTAGTATAAAAAAAAGTAATCAATCAAACTGAAAAACAATTAAAGAAACTAATACAATAACGATTATTGAGTAAATGATTTCTACCCCCTGTTAGTCATTTGATATAAATATTTATATGCTACATTCGCATTTTATTAGTTATGCATAACACTAATTAAAAGCGTCAAAAATTGTCTGAAAATAATCTACATGATAATCAGTATGTTTGAAACTACCATTATTGCAATATAATTCCATAATACAAGCATGTTGAAAAAACAAAATACTCAAGTTCCGAATCACATTAAGGCTAACTAAAAATTAACAGGAGGAACGTGAGGATGCCAAGAAAATTAAATAAAAGTTCTTTCAAATATTCACACCATCTAACAAGAAAATATTAAGTGCTCATCTGCCTGTATCATGAGGCAGCATTCTCTTGTGAGAACATAATTTCAGGGTTTAAAATTAAATGCCTCATCTACCCTCTTATTAAAATATTACAAATTTGCAAAATTTATTTTCAGTGATTAAAGACTTCAATCAAAAATTGTATTATGGAAATACTCAGGGAAACAAATCTCATCCCCCGACGTCAACGGAGCCTTCTATTTATTCTTACAACAACATGGATTCTGGATTTTCAATATACCCTTTGAATGCTTTTAACCATTCGGCACCAATTGCACCTGAATAAAACAATAAATTTTATTGTTAGCAACTTAGCATATTTTACAGTTACAAGAAACAATGCATAATTTTTTAAGTCAGAAAAAATAAAAATGAAGAATAAGAAGCAGCAGCACATTGATTCAACACTTCTAAATCAAGAACGATTACCATCTATTACACGATGATCACAGCTGAGGGTTACAGCCATAAAGGACGCAAACTTGAATTCCTCAGCACCTGAACCCGGAATGACCCTCCTCTCAGCTGCTCATGTAGAAGGCAATGCAAGAAGATTATCATTAAGAGAACAAGAAAAATGACCCCAGAAAATAATATAAATAAAGGGGGGAAAAGAATAAAATTTTCTCACCAGATCCAACTGCAAGAATGCCTGATTGGGGAGGATTGATGATGGCACAGAACTGTTTGACACCAAATGGCCCTCCCAAGTTAGACACTGTAAATGTACCTCCCTGCAATGTGTATCAACCCAAAAATTCATAATCGAGCACAGAGGTCATCGCTCAAAGATAAAAAAGAATTAACAAGAAACTTCAATAACCTCATAATCTTGGGGTTTCAAGCTGTTTTCTTTGGCTTTCTTTGCCAATTGTTTGACCTCATCACCTATCGTAGAGAGGCCTTTCTTGTCTGCATCCTGCAAATATTACGAACAAAGCGCCAAGTTAGAACCTGTAATTGGTACTTAAGGCCGTAAATGTCAGTGTAATATTAGAAAGATGCCCTCACTCACCCTGATGACTGGAACAAAAAGTCCATTATCAGTTTGCACTGCAACATTAATATTCACATTATGATACCTGCACAAAAACAAATAATAAAGGTTACTTCAAGGTAGCACACAAATCTGATGGCAATACTTACAATAAAAACTATTGACTTACTGCCGAATATAATCATTTGTCCATGAACTGTTGCATTCAGGGACTTTACGGAGAGCCAAAGCAACAGCCTGAAATAAAAAAGATAAGCTTAATACATAGTTAATATGTACACATTAATCTATCGTGCTCAGTACTGATAATTTACGATAAGGTATCTTTTTTGTGACTTGTGAGATGTGAATTTTGAGCCATAATTGCAACACATAACCAAAAAGCCCAATTAAAGTTGAGGGGCGATGATATAACAGTATTAGGCGGCTAAGGGCCCGTTTGGATGGGCTTTTTTTTCTCCAAAAGCTGTTTTTTTCTTAAATTAAAGCACTTCTCATTTTTAGTTTGTTTGGATGTCTGCTTTTAAAAAAAAGTCACAAAGGTCATAAATGCCTTCACCCTGATGGAAAAATTTACATATCTAAAGATGTACTCTTTAATGAACACAGATTTCCCTTTCCATTCACATTTTCTTCAACCTCATCAAGCATCCCAACTAATTTCACTTACTCAAGTAATATCATCCCACTAACTTCTACTTCTCCTAATACATTCTCTCCATCACTTCCTCAGACCACTGCCTCAGAATCACCAACTGCAGCAATCAGAACCAATTCGAATGTTTCATTTTCTGGACATACCAATGACTCTGCTCCTAACTTGTTACATGATACATCATTTACTTCTTCTGATAGTGCTATACCTTCTGACAGTGCAGTACCATCCTCTACTTCACCTCACTCTAATTCTTCACATCATAGAGTCAGTTCACCTCAACCTTCTACTACTGCTGACAAATCCTCTCACACCAGTTTTACTCCCTCGTCCAGTCAAATCAGTCCCTCTCAGTCTTCTAACTCTAGTTCCCCACCCTTCAATACTGCAGTGCAGTCCCCTATGTCCACTGTTTCTCCTATGTCTTTATCTTCTTCTCCACCTTCATCAGGATCAGAACACAGACCCTATAAATCTCTTAAAATACATTCTCCTCCTCATACTATACTTACCAGAAGGGTTAAGGATTTACCCGGTGTGAGATATCACATTGTTCGAGGAACCCAGCCCCTTCCATCTTTGTTGCTCATATGGAACCAACCAGTGCTAAACAGGCTCTAACTGACCCCAAATGGGCTCAAAGCTATGCAGCAGGAATATGATGCTCTCATTGCAAATTGTACATGGTCTCTTGTGCCTCTACCAGCCTCAAGGAAACCCGTTGGTTGCAAATGGGTCTTTAGAATAAAAGAAAATTCTGATTGTACAATTAATAAATACAAGGCAAGGCTAGTTGCCAAAGGTTTTCATCAACAATATGGCTAGGATTATAATGAAACATTTCCCCCAGTAGTAAAGCCTATTACTATTCGAACTATCCTCACATTGGCTTTGTCTCATGGATGGCCTTTAAAACAACTTAATGTTAATAATTCTTTCCTTAATGGAGATCTCTTAGAAGAAGTTTATATGTCTCAACCTCCAGGTTTTGAAGTCACTGACAAGACTCTAGTATGCAAGCTCAACAAAGCTCTTTATGGATTAAAACAAGCTCTTAGGGCTTGGTTTGAAAACTTTGGAGCTGCTCTTCATCATCTTGGTTTTATTTCTAGCAAATATGACCCCTCTCTCTTTATTCTTCGCTCTAATGGCAACTGCACCTATATTCTGGTTTATGTGGATGATATTATCGTCACAGAAAACAATTCTGACTTAATACAGCTTCTAATTGATCAATTGCATTCTAAATTTGCCTTAAAACAACTTGGAAATTTGGACTACTTTCTTGGAATCGAAGTTAAACATCTCTCCAATTAGGGGTGTTCATCAACCGATTCAAACCGCGGTGACCGAACCGAAAAACCGATAACCGAATAAACCGAAAAACCGAAAACCGAAAAAAAACCGCAAATTTTAATTGGATTGGATCGGTTTTCGGATTGGTAGATGAAAACTGATCAAATCCAAACCGATCCAATATATTAATTTTCCTTTACCTACTTGGATCTTTCCCCAATCATAGCCCAAAAATTTCTAAACCCAAGACTCATTAATCCATCAACTAAATCCAAAAAAATAAAAAACCTAGTCACATCTCATCAACAAAATTTCATTTATGTAGAGTTTCATATCTTATTGTCAAAAAAAAACTATATTATCGTTTACTAATACTTTTATATTTAAAAAAAAAATTACAAAGCCAATGTATACAAAAGATGTTATTTGTAGAATAATCATGAAACAAATTTTAGGATTTTAAAAAAACCGAAAATCGATCCAATCCAAACCGAAAAAAATTGTATTGGATCGGATTGGATTTGAAAAAATATCCAAACCGAATGGATGATTACATGACCAAACCGAAGGGATTGGATCGGATGATTTTTGCTTCCAAAACCGATCCAATCTAGACCGCGAACACCCGTATCTCCAATGGAAGGATACTGTTATCTCAGTCAAAATATATTAGAGATCTTCTTTACAAAGCTAGAATGGCAGAAGCTAAAGGAATTTCCACTCCTATGCCTAGTGGATGCAAGCTAAGCAGATTTGGCTCTAATTATGTACCTGACCCCTCACTTTACAAGTCCATTGTTGGAGCATTACAGTATGCTACATTAACAAGACCTGAAATTGCATTTAGTGTGAATAAAGTCTGTCAATTTTTATCCCAGCCACTTGAGGAACATTGGAAAATTGTTAAACGCATTTTGAGGTATCTCAATGGCACTTATCCTATGGTCTGGTTTTTCATCCACCTTCATCACAGCACCCTCTTTCACTTGTGGCATTCTGTGATGCTGATTGGAGTTCAGATCCGGATGATAGAAGATCAATCTCTGGAGCTTGTGTGTTTTTCAGCTCAAATCTCATATATCCTGGTGGGCCAAAAAGCAGTCCCTAGTGGCACGTTCAAATGCTGAAGCTGAGTATCGAAGCTTAGCCCATGCTGCAGCTGAAATTTTGTGGGTGCAATCACTTTCACAAGAGCTTCAAATTCCAGTTAAAGTCCCTGTCATCTACTGTGATAATCAGAGCACAGTTGCTCTTGCTCATAATCCAGTCTTGCACTCTCGAACAAAACATATAGAACTAGATGTTTTCTTTGTCAGACAAAAAGTTTTGGCTAAGTCTCTTATTGTGCAACATGTTCCATCTTCCCTACAGGTTGTTGATACCTTCATTAAGCCTCTTTCTGCTTCCAGATTTGCAGATCTCAGAGACAAGCTCAAGGTCTTGGATCATGCAATACTGACCAAACCCCCTTGAGCTTGAAAGGGGGAATATTAGAGTAACTCAGTTTATAAACTGTAAATTCAGTTACAACAATGTAACTGACTTGTAGTTACAACAATGTAACTGACTTGTAGTTACAACAATGTAACTGACTTGTAATGTAACTGACTTGTAGTTACAACAATGTAATTGACTTAGTTTTCTGTTAGATTCTAACTCAGTGGGTTAATATTGTATATTTAATTAACTCACTGAAGTTAGCATAGTTCAGAAGGTCTATAAATAAATCCCTGTGTAATTCTCTAAGAACTGTAATCATTTTTCACAATTCTAAATACAGCTTCTTTCAGATTCTCTCTTCCCTTACTTTGATTCTTCGTTTAGTAAGGGACGAAAGTGGAGACCGCGTTTTTTGTTAAGGACCCAAAAGAGGCTTTACTCTTAAAAACCTAATTAACAACCAAAACACACGATAAAAGAAAGACAATCTGCAAATTACAAGCACAGATATTTGGTCAGAGGAAAATCTTAATACCTTGATTACAAGGTCATTTAATGATATGCGGGCACCACCTGAAGCTTCTTGCAATGAATTAAGTTTAGCCCGCAAGCTGCAGAAAGGAGTTCCAATTATCAGAAACTATATGTATTATGGGCAAACCTATTCATAATAGAAAAACTCACCTCATGAGTTTATCAACACATGTATCTACTGTTAAATAGTAATGAGGAATAGTTTGTTTGGATAATAATAGACGTGAAGCTGTGACCTGTAAAAATATTAGAGTTAGTTTCAAGTAAAAAGCATCACTTATTCTTGCACAATATTATATTATGATCAGAACATTACATAAAAGTGAACAGAGAAGGAGAAAATAAAACGTGCCAGTAATAAAGAGAGCAATATAACCAAAAAGCATATAAAACTCTTGTTCACATGAAATTGAAAACAACGGTTGCGACATAGTCCTAAACAAGTGGTCTTTGATTGATGCTTGAAACACAAGTACATCTAATAAGATTTCACAAACATAAAATTTCAAGGACTTGTACAATAACCTACCTTCCTTATCTGAGAAACAGGAATGTCAGTATAATCCAATGCCGCATCTGTTGCAACCTTGGCCTTCGAGGGTGCTGAAACTTCTTTAACACCAGAAGCTGCATCAGATGATAAAAAGTTTTATAACATAATCAATTCAATCCCCAACGTGCAATAGGATATCCCAGAGCTAGCAGAGAGATAGAAAGACAGATGACTTCTGTAGGATAACAAGAAACAATCTGTTTCAACTATAATATGTACAGGCTACAGACAGACGTATAGAAAGATAGAATGATACCCAAGTAATCATCAATGTCACCCTTGACAATGAGCCCTTCAGGTCCAGTTCCTTTAATGCTAGAGATAGGTACCTACATTGGTGGGGTAAACAGTTTACGTAATGTCATACAAAATGACTTCTAGTTCTTTTACACGAGAACTTCAACAATGGTATTTTAGTATGAGTAACTGACATTTTTCTCTTCAGCCAACTTCCTAGCAAGAGGACTAGCAAATATGCGATCTCCAGATGAAGGTGGAGCACTGGGTTTGGAAACCTTTGGCTCACCTTCTCGGGCAGGCTCCCCTACCGCCTCTTTCTTTGGTGGAGGTGGGGCAGATGTTTCTTTGGCAGTGGGAGCACTAGGTTCTGATGCTGAAGGTTGGTAATCTTTAAACTTCGAAATATCCCCCTCATCTTCAACAGTTATGGCGATTACCTATGAAAGAAATTCATCATGTTACCAACACTGATGCCTTTCATGTGACAACAGAGTATGAAGTGTAAAGCAAAAATAATTTTTTATTGTACATTTAAACTGTGAAACACTGAACGAAAAGCCCTCCCCAAAGAAGAGGGGAGGGAGGAGAGACAGCTAGAAGATATCAATACCTCACCAACTTTAATTTCTTTTGCCCCATCCCCACATATTATCTTGGCCAGATAACCTTCCTCCATGCATTCCATTTCAACTGTTGCTTTATCCTTCATATGAAATAAAATTCAAATGTCAATGTTCACATAACAATCTTAATAGTTATATTTTATATGCCAAGTTTATCTCAATGGTACAAAAACCATACAGTTTCAACTTCACAGAGCACTTCACCAGGAGAAACTTTATCACCTTCTTTCTTCAGCCATCTTGCAATGTTACCCTGTATATCATTGGGAATCAATTAGTAGAAACCATGACCCACTATATGAAAATCTCATAAGCTTCAGAAAAGTGCAAACCTCTGTCATTGTCGGTGAGAGAGAAGGCATTCCAATTTCCTGGTGTGGGGGGAGTTCTGAAAGATATTCACAGGTGGAGGTTATGAAATCGGTAAGTAAAGAAAAAAGAATGCTAAAGAAAAAGTGTAAGACCCTGCTAACTTTTTAAAAAAATATCATTCTTGTATCTAAGCAACTTAATTTCAGGTAACAACACATCAAGTAAATAGCATCTTTCTATAAGGGGCAGATACAAAGTTCCACACGACATAAATAATAGAGCAGAATAAGCTGCAGCATGGAGTGAAAGCTCTCATTACTGTTCACAACTTAAAAGAAAGCTTTACACTTAGCCATGCCATGTTAGAAATATATATTATCATTCGTGTATCTCCACCTAAAAGCTTAAGGTTTTAGGAGAGTATGTATTTGAAATGGTATTAGAGAACCTATTACCAAGTGGTTAGGAGTTAGATTCCTTCCACTTTATTCTTTGTATCTCCACCTAAAAAAAGCACCATATAGGTGAGAAGATGGTTCACTCGCATGACGTTTTCTGGCCAACCCTGACGTTTTCCAGCCACTGATCCTGCTTGCAGGTCTCTGTTCTTCCATTGGTCTTTGCTCATGTATCAGACCTGTTCAAGCTTCACAGGTTGCAAGTGTCTTTTCTTTATTCCTTTGTTATGTTCTTTCTGCTTACATCGCACTTCACAGGTCCCTTTTTTTCATGTGTTCTGTTCTTTCTTCACACTTCACAGTTCCTCACATTCTCCTAATTTTTACCTAATGTGTTTTTTTTTCTGTTAATTTCATCATCTTCCTTTTTTCTCATCTTCATTCCTATGTTCTCATTGCCCCTAGACTGATGGTGATTATGTGTTTAGACTATGACTTATGATTATGATAGAACTGGACCAGAAATTAGGGAATAACATAAGGAGAATGCAGGAATTTTATTGAATATCATCCTCCAACTCTGGATCAATGGGTATGAGGGTATCCAAAGATCAGAAGAGCAAGAATGGTGTACAAAAGGGAAATTCCCCTGGAATTTGAGAGCCTGGTCTCTCCCTCCAAGACAAATTGACCAACTAACTATCTCCAAAACTGACCCCCATGCTATCCTCTCCCTCTCCTTATAACCTGCCTCTGACCATTCAATTAAAGGTCTAACTGCTATCAGCAACTAATTCTAACTACTTTAACTGATAGTGGCTGGCCCATTTGGTTCATTTGGTTCAATCCAGGATCAAGCACACTAGTTAGAAACTCATACTTCAGATTTGCTTAGGTAGCTCTACATTTGCAGTTTTGCACTGAGCAGATTCCCAATCCTATTTATAATTTACACTAGCAACAAAACATGATAGGTCAAATGATGAAGTAGTTTCGGGAAGCCTAATAGTACCTAAAGTCATTTTCCATTTCGTTCAAGTTTCAAAATTCAATTTGCCAAACTGCAGAACTCTCAGAGCTGCTAGACATAAATATGCATTCAAAGCACCATATAGGTGAGAAGATGGTTCACTCGCATGCAAAACATTCAACTGAACATACAACCAAAGATAAACAACTCAGTGAATACTTTATCCAGGCTCCTCATGCACTCCACATAGTTATCAAATGCGGATTGCGGCCAACCCTCAAAACCGCTATAGCGTTATCGCGGGTTGCGAAAATAGCGGAAAAAATATATTTATTAAAAAAACAAATTATATGTATATATGTGTGTGTGTGTAACATAATAAATTATTAAGAAAATAATAACACCTAAAAAAAATACAAATAAAAAAAAAATATAAAGATAAATAATAAAAATAAAGGCAGAGTTGACATGTTACCTCTTAGTAATAAGTGTCCAAACTTTAGCTATAGTTGTACTACCTTTAGTTGTAACTATACTTTACTGATTTACCAGATTTATCTTAGTTACTTTAGTGTTTTACCTTAGTTATCTTTTAATGATACATTCTTTTTTTTTTGGATATAGAAATAGTTTTACCCACTGTTACTATAACGTGAATCACTTTTCTGACAAATGTACTTTTCTTTTCTTTGAATAAAGATAGATCAGAATCTCTTTCTCTCTCTCTTTTTCTCTTTCATCCGTTCTCTCTCTCACAGCTTCTCTTTTTCTCCTTCATCTGTTCTCTCTCTCTCTTACTATTTCTCTCACTTTTTCTCCTTTTCTCCGTCATCTGCTCTCTCTCTCTCTCTCTCACTCTTTCTCTCACTCGAAGCTTTGCTTCTTCGTTCATGGCTTCCACATTGAACTTCAATACTATAAGAGAGAAGTAGAGAAGGGAAGAAACGAGCGCTATAAAGAAAGCAAGAGAGGCAAAAGAGAGACGCACAACAGAGAGGCAGAAAGAGAGAGTGGGTTAGGGTTAAAACCATAAAAGACACTATTGCGGTGAGATTTGGCCGCAAATGCGGCCGCAACGGCCGCTATTGCAATTTGGTGCGGCGCGGCGCAGATGGTTGCGGCAAAGCTCCGCAAAGCGCAACTGGCGCAGCTTGCTATTGACTACTATGGCACTCCATATTCTTATGATCATGAAATGTCAAATGACTATCCGTGAAATAAAAGATCATAATATATTATATAATCAACAACAAGGAATATTATGTAAAGCTTCATGAGATACCCAACAAAATATTAACAGCCGCAAAGAACCATGAAATGTACCTGAAGCTGATGCGTAACATCTCCTTGACAGCACCTGTGAACTTCTTTTGGAGGGCATGGTGGATATAAAATAAATAAGTTACAGGTAACCCCCAAGTAAAGCAAAGCAAATACAGGAAAACAAAAATTAAAAATTAAAACATAAAACTGACATACCGTGAAATCTCTCCATTGAACAAGGACCCACTAATGGAACCCTTTTTCATGGTAGCCATGGAGATGTTTCTCTTCTGTATACCAAATGAAAGTTTCTATGAAAGAGAGAATTCGGGTCAGCTGAAACCATTGGCTTATATAGGGAGTAAAAAGGCAGTAGTGTGGGAAAGGAAAAGAAGGGGTGATAGTGCAGACAGAAAACTTCTCACGACATATTGTATGATTGCATGTAAATGAGCTCTACTCACAGTGAAGTTGGGAGCCAGTTCAGAGACACTGTTTCTTGCTGAAGACTCATGATCATGGAATCCCGTTTTCCACATATCTAATCAATAACCAACTACGATTATAAATATAGAAAATAAAACTTTAAGAAACATCAGGGATCATTCAAATCGTATGGTTCCTATGCAATATGCCAATATGGCGATAAAAAATGTATAGAGTAATTTTCTCCCATATCACCTGCATACGTATACTTGTTGCTCACATACAGATAGATTATTTAAAACACCAAATGGTTTACTGATTATTGCCTATGAACCTATAACAAATTAAATATTGAAAATAATTCCCCTTTTCCACTTGCTCCAACAGGATATAGTTTAATTCGTGCATACAAATTATCACTGAAAACTCAGGTCAATCCAACACAAACTTTTCTAATTTCATTTATTTTTGAAAATATGACTAAATAATTGCAATACAGTAAATCCCTCCTCACGAACACCATAGATTAGAAAAACTCAAAACAGATCTTTCAGCATTTTTTTCATACAACGAATTCCGGTTTTAATTTAGTTGCGTATAATATATAGTTAAACAAGAGAGAGTTACAAGAAACGAAGCAAGTACCGCGGTTTCTGTTGATAGAGGGTTGAGCATCGCCGGAAAAACAACGAACCAAAAGTGCAGGCTCATGGTGTAGCAAGTTCGAAGCATTACGCAACTGCAACACAATACATAGGTTTAAATAAAAATAAAAATAATATATATATATAAAAATAAAAATAATATATATATATACATATATTTAGATTGGAACACACACACAAAAAATGCATATTGTGAATGTTACAATTCACCTTTCTGGAGTGACTGAGTAAATGAAACGCGTATGTCATTTTCGAAATCGCCGATGAGATTTTACACAAAAATGAAATATAAGAAATCGAAGGAAGAGTGTTAGGGTTCGGTGGCAGATCCGATCAAGTAGACGAAAATGGAAATGGCATGGAAGCAGCTGCAGCAGCAAAATAACCCAGAATATTTATTCTTTTTCTTTTTTCTTTTTTCCCTCTTTGTACCTAAACTTTTCTTCTTTTTGTTGTTTTTTTTATATTTTATTATCGGGGTGAAGGCTTGTGACAAACTTATGCCTTTGAGTGTTTAATATTATGTTTCAAAATAGAGAGATGTTATACTTATTACTTTTTTTTCTTACTACTTGTTACTATCAAATCTTAACCGTTGATTTCTGTCAATCTAACGTTTATAATTTATTATAATTAATTAATAAGTGTGACCCTATAAATTATAACCGTTAGATCGGCGGAAATCAATGGTTAAGATTTGGTAGTAATAAGAAGTAAGAAAAAAAGGTAGTAACTATAACTTTTCCCTTTAAAAAATGACTTTTTTTTATCGCTTTCAGTGACTTTAGCTAATGTGGAGAGATAAAAAAAAATTTATATTATAATAATATTTTACTTTTAAAATAGGGGAATACTTTTCTCCTTTTAAAGGAGAGAAGAGTTGTCTCCTACTGAGACAAAAAAGTGAGACCAGCAATTTAAAACAAAAAAGTAAAAACAAAAATAAAAACTTGACACAGAAGTCGATGTATGTGTAGGAATGAAATGTTGTCTCAAGTGAAAGGAGAAAAACATTTTCCTTTAAAATATAGTGTTAATTTGTAAAATGATAGAAACTCGTGTCCTTTATTATTATTATATATTTCATATGATAATATTATAAATTATTTTTAGCGTCTGTATTTCTCATATTATAAGAGATAATTTTATTTCATACGTACACATAAAAGCATTTGGAGTAATTTTTTTTTTCTCAATTCCTTTCATATGATTCTACATAAAATCCATACACTTTTACATTTATATAAAAGATAAAATTATTGTTATCAAAAAAAAAAAAAAGATAAAATTATTTCACTTGAAAAACATTAATCCCTTGTTATGTCTATGGCTTTTGTCTGCATGACTCGTTGGTTTGTTGAGTGTTTACTGTCCACACTGGCGGCAGTACAAGTTTGATAAATTTTTTATATTATTTAGTGTTTATAATCTGACATTGTATAACATATTTTAATGGTAAAATTATTTCTACAGTGCAGATAATTTATCTGTATTTATTCTCAAAGCGATATTATTTTGGTATTGAAATCTTAAAAAATTATAAATATAAAACTATTATAACCCTGAAATAAATTAAAATTACAATAATGCCATGATTTTCACTCCAAAACGACGTTGTATTGGGCTTAATGTAAACAACTTATCTGCAGTAACTGCAGAAAAAGCGAACCTTATTTTAATATACGAAAAATATTTTATATTTAATGATGGAAAAAATATTTTTGCAGTTAATGCAGATAAGTTATCTGCATTTATTCCCAAAACGACATCGTTTTTGTATTGAAATCTTAAAAAATTATAAATATAAAGACTATTATAACCCTGAAATAAATTAAAACTACAAAAATACTATGATTTCTGCCTCAAAACGATGTTATATTGGGCTTATTGCAGATAACTTATATGCAATTATTCCCAAAACGACATCGTTTTGGTATTGAGATATTAAAAAATTATAAATATAAAGACCATTATAACCCTGAAATAAATTAAAATTACAAAAACACCATGATTGCATTATAAATATTCCCAAAACTTTTTTCCATTTTATTCATAAGCTTCTACTTCCTCACTATCGTGTCACAATGAATATCAATGCACTTGCACGACAATCATTAGTTAATGCAGATGGCTTTGTAGAGCAAATCTTTATGCTCTGACAATATGCTATGGAGATGTCTTCAGCGGTTTACAAAAATTGGGTATTTCCTGACCAAGCATTACATGTTGATCTTATCAAGAGGTAATGTATATGAATACAGCCTACATGGATGATATTATATCTAACACATTCCCTAATGCAAGAGTTCAATTATCTTAATTAAAGCATGGACAATATACAATTATACATGCTTACTAACCTTATCCTGAAATTTAACTTTTAGAAGAAGAGAATCGGCAAAGATTGCACTCCTAATTAACTACTTGGATCTTAGAGGCTATGATATATTGTCAAAAACTAACAAACATTTTGTTGTATGAGATTCCTGAATGGTTTTATATCTAAAAGAACTGAAGGGATAAATTTTTCAAATTTGTGTCTGGAATACAAACATAAAATAACCAATTTCTGAACTGTAAAACCATATACAATTTCTCTTTGATGATGACAAAAATTAGACGAGAATTTTGTTGTTAGTTACTAGGGTATTTTGCTTGATTCAGAGGAATGACAGTTGAGGATCCATCTTCTCCCCATGGTCTGCGCCTTGTGATAGAGGACTACCCTTATGCTGTTGATGGACTAGAGATATGGGATGCTATTAAGACATGGGTTCAGGACTATGTTTCCTTTTACTATGCCACAGATGTGGCTGTTCAAAATGACTCTGAACTTCAAGCTTGGTGGAAAGAAGTTGTTGAGAAGAGTCATGGTGACTTAAAAGATAAGCAATTGTGGTTTAAATTGCAGACTATTGAAGAGGTGATTCAATCATCCACTATTATTATATGGATTGCTTCTACTCTCCATGCAGCTGTGAATTTTGGACAATATCCTTATGGAGGTTTTGTCCTGAATCGTCCAACTCTTAGCAAAATATTGATCCCAGAAGAAGGAACTCCAGAATATAACAAGATGGTGAAGAGTCCTCAAAAGGCTTATTTGAGAACAATTACACCAAAGTACCAAGCCCTTCTTGACCTTTCAGTGCTTGAGATCTTGTCAAGACATACTTCTGATGAGGTCTACCTTGGACAAAGGGACAATCCAAACTGTCTGATCCAAGGGCACTAGAAGCCTTTAAAAAATTTGGAAACAAGCTTGTAGAAATTGAGGGAAAAATCACAGAGATGAACCATGATTCAAATCTTAGAAATCGAACTGGACCAGCTCAGCTTCCTTACACTTTGCTTGTTCCTTCAAGTGATGAAGGGCTGACTTGTAGAGGAATTTGATAAACCTTTAGTTTATCTTGTTTTATGGACTAAAATAATATGAATTATCTAGTTGAACAAGTCAAAAATTAGGGTTTTAAAATGATAATCATGAACATTATCTAATTGTTGGAACTAAATAATATATTTGCTCTTTTTGAAGGGATTTGATAACAAATAGATTCAAATATGAAGATTTGGATAAAGGGAGATCAAATCAGAAAAGATATGGATAGATGGAAAGCAAAAGAAAAAGATTTGAAGATCTTATCAAAATTCCCAAGTTGTTAGAAGAGGGAGCTTAAGCCCCTATTTAGAAGCTTAAGCTCCCTAAAAACGCAAATAGCTACTGCCTCTGGGCGCTTAAGCCCCCAACTCAGGGCTTAAGCGCGCCACAAGAAGAAAGTTTTGTCGCGAGGAGCGCGCTTAAGCTCCCTCCATCGCGCTTAAGCGCGCAACGCGAATCTAAAATCACCGTCCTAGGGCGCTTAAGCGCGCTACAACAAGCTTAAGCGCCCAGTCAGATCCAACTTAGGCCCATTCAATGTGTTTTATTGGGATACGAACTCTTGGCCAATAAAAGGACCATTGGGGACCAGAAATACATAACTTTTACATTGCAAAACAACTCTTGGGTGCTTGGAGGTTGAAGGAACACGGAGAAACATCAGATTCATGTTTGTGAGCGGCGGAGACGGATCATCATCAAGTTTTCACTGGAGATATTGAAGATTCACCAATCACCTATGGAGTTTGGGGGAGCTTTTATATTGTCTTTTGTTCTTAATTTTGCTATGTCTGGCTAGTTCTTTAAGTAGTTAGGGTTAGATGGATTTTAGTCGATTTATTATGCTTTGAACAATTCGTCTGTTAATTTTCCTTTTTATCATGAATGAAGTTATCTATTTTTAATGCTTTATATAGGCTTGAATCTTATATAATGATCATCGGTAAATGCATGACAATAGGGATGTTGGTGTGTGATCCATATCTGATAACTTCATCGTAAACGTTATGATTCTAGGGATAGACATGGGGTTTGCGTAATCTTTAAGATTCTTGAACTTAATGCTTATGTTCTTGGGGAATAACCGGGGAACTAGGGTTCTTCCAAGATCGTGAAGGTTTAGGGTAACAAGGGATTGAGCCCTAATCACATGCGAAAGAATTGATTAGATTGATACTAAGGACGATTAACATTTAGAAGGAATTCAAACATAATAAAGAGATTAAAGGAAATCGAACCCCTAGCTACGCTTTTATTTTATCAACTTATTCAAATCTTTAATTTCTTGCCTTTAATTCTTGCGAGTAATTAGCTTTAATATTTAATATTTTAATTCTGCAATTCAAATCCTGTTTCCAAATACAACTTTGATTGTCCAACTTAAGTTGCGATAGTGAATTTGTGCTTAAACCGTAATCCTCGTGGGAACGATCTCTTACTTAAATCATTATATTACTTGTACGATCGGTGCACTTGCCGTGAGTAGCTATCAGAATTCTCAAGAGTATCTCTATCTAATTATAAGACAAAGGCAATTCATATCAATTGACATGAATTGCAAAATAAAAATATCAACCATTGATATATAATGAATAAAAATATCTGTCAGAAAAGCTAGTGCATGGATGGTATTTAATAATAAGAATCTTAGAGGTCACCGTTTAATAAGAACAGAGATGCAATCATGCAAGCTTATCTATGTATAATTAGCGTGTAGATGTTTAAGTATTGTATTTGGGTGCTTTCTGGTTTTCACATATAATAAGAACGCAATCAGTTTGTATAAACTGTTTAGTTCCAGTCATGTTTATCTGTAATATATATGTAAAAGATATGTTTATAATTCTCGTGAGAATCCCAACCTGTACAAGTTATGTTTCTCTCTGAAAATTGGGCTTTATGGGTAGAGGCCCAACGTTAGAGGCACACGATACCTGAATGCGTGTTTCCAATTTAGATTGGTAGTGGGTATGGATTAGCAAGTACCCTACACCGTCCGGAATAGGAAGGTGTTAGCATCTTACATTATTCGTTTAAAAAA